TAAAGATTTCTCTTTCCATTAATATGGGATCCATCCTCAACAACATTCTCAACATGCCCCTCACATATGAAAAAAATTCAAGTCTAATATGTGGACAACACAAACAAGGTGATGTGAAGTACGTGTGTCCATTGGGCTTAACACGTGGGACAATCTGCTCTGATACCATAAAAAAAGTTGAGGCTCCATTATAAAACCAATTAGCAATATGAAGGAATAGCCCACGTAAATCTCTTCTCACATCAACATGAGATTCATTCTCAACACAATCAACATCCACATCCTTTTAATTAAATGGAGCATTTTTGCTCACCACTAGTGTATGTTCATCATACACCTAATCAATTGACACGTGTCATTTTACTTAACTTTCACATTAAATGTTAGTTTTTCAATTTTGAAATAAATTAACCAAGATTAAGTGAAAGGACACGTGTCAATTGATTAGATGTATGGTGAGCATACACCATAGTTTATAATGGTGAGCAAAAATACTCTCTAATTAAATAAGTAGTTGATTTTTCTACGAGAATTAATTTGCAAACACATTTAATCTTGGCATCACCTTTAATCTTCCTTCACATTTTTGTTTATTTTTATATTTTTTGTTCTTTAGTATATCCCATTTAGTCTGCGCCATCGACTGACTGCGGCAAGCCATCATTAACTGACTTTTCTCTAAGATATTTTTTAGTCCTGCCACTGACCAACTGTCGGTCATCAATGCCCCTAGCATTAACATAGCATGACTTTTTGTCTTGGATACTTTTCAACACTGCAGCTTCACGGAGGGTGCTCTAGCTCACGACCAAAGATTAAATTACTAATTCACCACTACTCACAGACATGCGTGTGTGTGTATATACAATCGTCTAAACTAGACATGGCAGTTTTTGACACGACACGGTGACACGACAAGAAAACGACATGAAAATAACGGGTTTCGGGTCAACACGATAACTTATCGGGTCACTATCGGGTGACCCGTTAAGAACCCGTTAATAACGGGTTCTTAACAGGTATACACGTGGGTAACACGTGGGTAACCCGTTTCGACCTGTTAAGAAAAAAAATATTTTAATAATTTTAAAGTTTAATTACTAAAAGATTTATTATAAAATACAATAATCATATTAATATATACAATATTTTCTATATTAAATATATAGTTTTGTATTATTGTTCTATATAAATTATAAAAAAATAAAAAAAGTTTTAGTCATTATTTATTTTTATTATGAGAGTTCCTTATTATTATTACTAGGATAAATTTTACATAACATATTCTTGTCCAAAATTAAAATATACTAGTATAGTATTTGTATATGCAAGAATTAAGAAGACATACATACAAGTATGAAAAATATGAAAGAATATATAAACACTCGTGATTTATCATTATTCCTTCACGAATAGATAATTGTTACACTTATATTATCGTTTAGATTTTTAAAATCCTTCAAACCCTCATGAATAATGTTTTTTATTTGAGGGCAAAATTAATAAAATTAATAATAATTATTGTAGAAGTGTAAAAAATGTAAAAAAATATATATACAATCACTCATATATAAAAAATGTAAATACTTTAAATTAAAGATCAAATTTATTCATTACATTCTTATAGGGTCGAGGAGTGTATATGTACAAAATCATCAAAATCGGAGCTAAAATAACCGTTAAATTGTGATTTTTCGTTTATAACCGTCGAACACTTTTGTTCCGTTACGTAATCTCTGAATGTTTGTTTTTTACAATTTTTTACTTTTGCAATCTCAGAATGTGTACAAATAAGTTTGACGGTTGGATCGTTGAAAAAAGTTTCGTATAATGCATATTGCATCAAAACGGTAGATAAAACAAACACTTAGAGTTAATATTATACTTCTATTAAGTATAAAATAAGTTTTTGTGGTATCCACTAGTGTAAATACTTTAAATTAAAGATCAAATTTATTTATTACATTCTTATAGGGTCGAGGAGTGTATCTGTAAAGAATCATCAAAATCGGAGCTAAAATAACCGTTAAATTGTGATTTTTGGTTTATAATCGTTGATAACTTTTGTTCCGTTACGTAATCTCTGAATGTTTGTTTTTTACGATTTTTTACATATGCAATCTTGGAACGCGTACAAATAAGTTTGATGGTTGGATCGTTAAAAAAAGTTTCGTAGAATGCATATTGCATCAAAATAGTAGATTAAACAAACACTTAAAGTTAATATTATACTTCTATTAAGTATAAAAAAAGATTTTGCGGTATCCACTAGTGTAAATACTTTAAATTAAAGATCAAATTTATTCATTACATTCTTATAGGGTTGAGGAGTGTATTTGTAAAAAATCATCAAAATCGGAGCTAAAATAACCGTTAAATTGTGATTTTTTGTTTATAACCGTCGAAAACTTTTGTTCCGTTACGTAATCTCTGAATGTTTGTTTTTTACAATTTTTTATGTATGCGATCTCGGAATGTGTACAAATAAGTTTGACGGTTGGATCGTTGAAAAAAGTTTCGTAGAATGCATATTGCGTCAAAACAGTAGATTAAACAAACACTTAGAGTTAATATTATACTTCTATCAAGTATAAAATAAGTTTTTGTGGTATCCACTAGTGTAAATACTTTAAATTAAAGATCAAATTTATTCATTACATTCTTATAGGGTCGAGGAGTGTATCTGTAAAAAATCATCAAAATCGGAGCTAAAATAACCGTTAAATTGTGATTTTTCATTTATAACCGTCGAAAACTTTTGTTCCGTTATGTAATCTCTGAATCTTTATTTTTTATGATTTTTTACGTATGCAATCTCGGAATGTGTACAAATAATTTTGACGGTTGGATTGTTGAAAAAAGTTTCGTAGAATGCATTTTGCGTCAAAACGGTGGATTAAAACAAACACTTAAGAGTTAATATTATACTTCTATTAAGTATAAAATAAGTTTTTGTGGTATCCACTAGTGTAAATACTTTAAATTAAAGATCAAATTTATTTATTACATTCATATAGGGTCGAGGAGTGTATCTGTAAAAAAATCATCAAAATCGGAGCTAAAATAACCGTTAAATTGTGATTTTTTGTTTATAACCGTTGATAACTTTTGTTCTGTTACGTAATCTCTGAATGTTTGTTTTTTACGATTTTTTACGTATGCAATCTTGGAACGCGTACAAATAAGTTTGATGGTTGGATCGTTAAAAAAAGTTTCGTAGAATGCATATTGCGTCAAAATAGTAGATTAAACAAACACTTAAAGTTAATATTATACTTCTATTAAGTATAAAAAAAGATTTTGCGGTATCCACTAGTGTAAATAATTTAAATTAAAGATCAAATTTATTCATTACATTCTTATAGGATTGAGGAGTGTATTTGGAAAAAATCATCAAAATCGGAGCTAAAATAACCGTTAAATTGTGATTTTTGGTTTATAACCATCGAAAACTTTTGTTCCGTTACGTAATCTCTAAATGTTTGTTTTTTACGATTTTTTATGTATGCGATCTCGGAATGTGTACAAATAAGTTTGACGGTTGGATCGTTGAAAAAAGTTTCGTAGAATGCATATTGCGTCAAAACAGTAGATTAAACAAAAACTTAGAGTTAATATTATACTTCTATTAAGTATAAAATACGTTTTTGTGGTATCTACTAGTTTAAATACTTTAAATTAAAGATCAAATTTATTCATTACATTCTTATAGGGTCGAGGAGTGTATCTGTAAAAAAATCATCAAAATCGGAGCTAAAATAACCGTTAAATTGTGATTTTTCGTTTATAACCGTCGAAAACTTTTGTTCCGTTATGTAATCTCTGAATGTTTGTTTTTTACGATTTTTTATGTATGCGATCTCGGAATGTGTACAAATAAGTTTGACGGTTTGATCGTTGAAAAAAGTTTCGTAGAATGCATATTGCGTCAAAACAGTAGATTAAACAAACACTTAGAGTTAATATTATACTTCTATTAAGTATAAAATAAGTTTTTGTGGTATCTACTAGTGTAAATACTTTAAATTAAAGATCAAATTTATTCATTACATTCTTATAGGGTCGAGGAGTGTATCTATAAAAAATCATGAAAATCGGAGCTAAAATAACCGTTAAATTGTGATTTTTTGTTTATAACCGTCGAAAACTTTTGTTCCGTTACGTAATCTTTGAATGTTTGTTTTTTACGATTTTTTATGTATGCGATCTCGGAATTTGTACAAATAAGTTTGATGGTTGGATCGTTGAAAAAAGTTTCGTAGAATGCATATTGCGTCAAAACAATAGATTAAACAAACACTTAAAGTTAATATTATACTTCTATTAAGTATAAAATAAGTTTTTGTGGTATCTACTAGTGTAAATACTTTAAATTAAAGATCAAATTTATTCATTACATTCTTATAGGGTCGAGGAGTGTATATGTAAAAAAATCATCAAAATCGGAGCTAAAATAACCGTTAAATTGTGATTTTTTCGTTTATAATCGTCAATAACTTTTGTTCCGTTACGTAATATTTGAATGTTTGTTTTTTTACAATTTTTTACGTATGCAATCTTGGAATGTGTACAAATAAGTTTGACGGTTGGATCGTTGAAAAAAACTTGTCATTACGAGTGTTTATATATATTTTCTATATTTTTTTACACTTCTACATTAATTAAAAAACTATTAAAGACTTTAGGCAAGCGAAAATATACTTAAAACAAAATTGCGTTTTTATGTTTTGGATGTGATACTATGAAATGTATATACTTATTTAGTATTATGTTTTTCATTTGATTATTTATTGGTTTAAAATATATTTTCCTTAACGGGTAACGGGTCGGGTCATATTACCTGTTAATATTATCGGGTCGATTTCGGGTCGGGTCATTTTACCCGTTTATTTTAACGGGTGTTACACGACACGACCCGTTAAGATATCGGGTATGACACGAAAACGACACGAACACGGAAAACACGACACGAATGCCATGTCTAGTCTAAACTACTTCGTGTAGTGACACCTCTCCCCCCCTCCTCCGTCCTTCTCTCTCCATGGAAAAAAGTGGAAGCAGATCCTTCACCTTGTCTTGGTGGCCTTTTATTTTAGCCTTTCTCGTTCTTTGCTGTTCCAGTGAAACTTGTAACGCTAAGGATGATAGTACAAACTGTACCTCCTCCTGCGGCAATATTCACAACATAAGCTACCCTTTTCGACTAAAAGATGATCCAAAGCACTGCGGCCACATTCTGTATACTCTTTCCTGTGAGAACAACATTACAGTATTAGATCTACCTTATTCTGGTAAATACTACGTACTGGCAATCGACTACAATAACAAAACAATCCGACTTCTAGATCCTGGCCTTGACAACAACAATTGCTCTTCCATGCCTCGAAATTCGCCGTCCTACATAAGCGAGCCATATACTTCGGATGATCCCACCACTTATCTTCCACTTTCAACATCAATATTTTACTTGAGGTGTAGAAACAAAATGAATTCTTCTCTGTACGTGGATACTGCTCCATGCTTGAATAATAGTGCCACTTCTTTGATTCAACCAAAATCTTATAGTTATGTCAAGGTTGGCCCAGACGATATGGAAGTAGGGGATTTGGAGGAGGGTTGCGGAGCCGAGGGGATTGCTTTGATGCTCTTGGACTACTCTAAGGAGTACTACAAGGCCTCTTATGAATATATACACAGTGCACTCATGTATGGCTTTGAGCTTCGAGTATATTGGCCAGATGAATTAGAGCCATCCTGCGGCTATAGGTCTGCCACTCGTCGTCCTAAATGTTTTCCACGTACCATCTCAGGTGCGTAATTCTCAAATGAAATATTACCTTATTATGTATCTCTCACATATAATTTTTATTCATTCATATTTTTTTAATATTCGATCTGACGGTCGAAAATTGAGAAAGATGTGTGAAGAGGTAAAATAGGTGTAGAATATCACCACCCTTATGTTTTCCTCACCACCATGTCAAATTCCATCCATCCACAATATGTTTGAGAAAATTTGCTTCTCATGGATATATCTCTCTACAACATTCACTCTCTTAAACAGCCATGCTTGATCCCAACTTGTTCCAGTTCGATCTCCAATCGATCTGACGTTCTTCCTTTGCGAAGCCTCTTGCTTGTGACAGGGAGCTAGCCATTCTTTTTAGGGAACTTTAACGAAAAACTCCCGTTACTGTTCACTTTAACGAAAAACCACATTTTTACATTAAAAAGTCAATCCTGGTACTATTCACTTTACCTTTTATTTCGTCCTTATCATTAAAACTCAAAGTTTTCAAACCCTTTTCATTAGTTTTCCTTTCTTTTTATGCTTGAAAAATATCGACAATTTTTATACCATGTCAACAATATATAGATAGATATAGATAGATATAGATATTCTTATGGATATCATATCATCAGCAATATGTACACAACGCTGATACAAGATCTATATCATCTGAATACAATATATCTATATAAGGGTGATTTAGACATTTCATTCTATATAGACTCTATCTAAATTATGGTTGGTTTTATATTTCTATCTCGAGAACATCTCCAAGAGACTCTTTAAATCTATTGGGATGCTTGATTAAAGAGTCAAACTAAGAAAGTGAAGCTCCAAGAGACTCCCACTCTTTGTTTTAGTTTTGTGAATAGTAACTCAATAGATTTTAAAGGGATCAGGATCCTCTCCTAAGCTAAGGGTGAGGATCCTCCTTAGCAAGCCAATCAGACCGTTTAAATTTTATCCAATGACTACAAACAGAGAGTCTATCTAAAAGTTATAATAATTGTAACCGTTGGATAAAATTTGAATGGCCCGATGAGCTTACTCAGGAGGATCCTCACCCTTACCTCAGGAGAGGATCCTGATCCATTTTAAAGAGGAGGAGAGAGAATTTAACGAGTGAAAAAAGATGAGAAATATGGGTTGTTTAAATATTAAAATATTTAGAGTTTGTTAAAATATAGCGTTGTTGGAGATGTTAACCTAAATTTGGTAACTGAAATAGTGTTTGGGCTCTAGTTACGTGCTAAACTAACAAAATCTTAAAGACGTTGTTGGAGATGCTCATGGCCAACACTATGTCTTAATTCCGCAATCAATTATATGACAAATGAATTATATGTTGCTCTATTTCATATGCTATACAGGTATCAACAATGGCAGCAACTTGAATTTTATTTTCTAACTGCTGTTATGCTAATGTTGTTTTCTTGTTTTACTGTAGGTTTATTTCGATACCTGTGGGATCAATTCAGTAAGTGGTCCCTTTGCAAAACAAAACAAAACAAACAAAAAGAAAAGAAAAGCATCTCTTTTTTGTTTCTCTTTCAAATTCAATGTTTACGATTTGGGAGTACACACAAGCCTCTCTCTTGTCATTAAATTCAAACACGAAACCTCTTCCAACAAATTATAAGTAAATATGGCATATGCAGTAAAACTAAATCATCATTGAAATTTGGTATTTGTTGGTCATATACCAATTACCAAAAGCGTTTATAGGAAGAATACTAATGCAAATTAAAACCATAATTTCTTGGTGATTGTTGCTTGAAAATATATGTTTCAAAACTTGTTTATTTTAAACTCTAATAAACTCGCTGTGGTATTGCTAATTAATGTTGTGCATTTTCACCTTTGTCACTGCAGGTTTTTATTTGCGTAAAAACGTGAATTCTCGTAAGGACTTTCTCTCTCAATTCAATGCTAATTTATTTCTTTGCCACTGCATGTTATTCTATATGCACTTCTCAGAAATATTCTAGTATTTTGTCGTTGATGAATTTTGTGTGGTATGTATTGCAGGAAACTTTCCTCGATGGTTACCATTCAAATCCATGGGTAAGGACTTTCTCCCCAAGAGCTTGTATTTCTTGAATATATAGTCAAGTCTTTGATTTTTATTCACTTTTCAAACTTTGAGCCGTTACGGTCTTTTACCATTTCCATTTGGTTTTTACTTTTTGCTATTTTTGTTGCAGTGCGTGGATGGGGTATACTCATGGGCACCGGTAAGAATTAGGGAACTTTAATGAAAAGCACCCAGTACTGTTCACTTTAACGAAAAACCACATTTTTACACTAAAAAGTCAATCCTGGTACTATTCACTTTACTCTTTATTTTGTCCTTATCATTAAAACTCAAAGTTTTCAAGTCTTTTTCATTAGTTTTTCTTAAGAATTATTGTATATATGTGTTTGTGTGCATGCACGCTCATGCATGTCCATTTTTAGCATAGATTCCAACTTCTCATGACTGAAATCAAATAAACTGTACAAAAAATTCATGGGTTATCAAGACTACTCGTACTCCAAATGTTTTTTCTTTTTCTTTCTACTCTTCCCTCTCGTTCTCTACCACTCTTATTCTGACATGGAACCCGAGGGTGGTCCGTGACACCTTCAGATTTGCCATCACGGACCTCCGATTTAAGAGCTTGTGAGGTTGCCGGTGTGCCTTGTGTCCTTCTCCGGCATAAGAGAGGAGGAGCAATAAAAGGAGAAAGAAACAATAAGAAAGAAAAAGAAAGGGAAAGAGAGACGTGAGGGAAGGATGAATGGTTAGGGGTGGGGTAGGGTGGCCGGTGTAGGTCTCCGAGAAGGGAGTCGGCCAATGCAGGAGGGGAAGGGTGGTGGAAAATGATTTGGAGACTCAGAACTTGTTTAATTTATCTTTTTATCAAAAGATTTTTTTTAGAGAGAACTGACAATTTAGTCCTTGAATTATCCCCTGACTGAAAATTAGGTCCCTAAACTATATTTCAGAAAAACCAGTTCTTGAATTATATAAATATGCTAATTACATCCCTAATATTATATTCAAAGCTACTATATTCAATTTTCCGTCAATTTAAATCATGTTACTTGTCTGTGATACATTTTGAAAGGTAGATTAGTATTTTTTTAATAAAGAAATAGTGTGTGGAGTTAACTTTGAAGAGTAAATTAGACGTTAAATTCGCAACCTATATGAAATGTTAAGGGTGTATAGGCAATAAAATAACGGTATTACAGTGTGTCAAGTGACTTAAATTGATGAAAAATTGAATAAAATAACTTTGAATATAATAGTAGGGGATGAAATTCGCAATTTTTAATGAATTTAGCTAGGGACTTATTTTACCAAAAAATTAATTCAAGGACCTAATTTTCACTGAGGTGATAGTTCAATGACTAAATCAGCACTTCACCTTTTTTTTATAAGAGTGTTAATTTATATCTCATTCATTAAAGAGTGGCTTGATCTAAAGCTTACCTCAAAACAAGAAAAAAGTTTAAAGTAGTGTGGATTTGACAAATAAGTTTCTGTTCTTATGATTCTTTTGGTGATATATTTTTTATGCAGGGTTATTTTTAATAGTAAGACTCCTGCTTGGGGTTCCAGTTGTAACTGTATTTTTAGTATATAAATGGCGCAGAAGACATTGGTCAATGTACAGTACAATAGAAGACTTTCTGCAATGCAATAACAACTTCATGCCTATAAGGTACTCTTACTCAGAAATTAAGAAGATGACTCGCAAGTTTAATGATAAGTTGGGCGAAGACGGCTTTGGCTCCGTATTTAAAGGAAAGTTACGCAGCGGCCGTTTTGTAGCAATTAAAGTTTTGGGCAAGCCCAAAGCAAATGGCCAAGATTTCATTAGCGAAATAGCTACAATTGGAAGGATTCACCACGCTAATGTGGTGCAACTTGTTGGTTATTGTGTCGACGGATCAAAGCGTGCTTTAGTATATGATTTCATGCCCAATGGCTCTCTTGATAAATACATTTATTCCAAAGAAGGAAGTATCCCCTTAAGTATCAAGAACATGTATGAGATTTCTCTTGGAGTGGCTCAAGGGATCGAATATCTACATCAAGGGTGCGACATGCAAATTCTACATTTTGACATCAAGCCTCATAACATTCTTCTTGATGAGAACTTTAAAGCAAAGATTTCTGACTTTGGGCTTGCAAAATTGTATCCCGTAGATAATAGCATTGTCTCTTTGACGGCAGCAAGAGGGACAATGGGATATATTGCTCCTGAGTTGTTTTACAAAAATATTGGAGGCGTCTCGTACAAGGCTGATGTCTATAGTTTTGGAATGTTGTTAATGGAAATGGCAAGCAGAAGGAAGAATTGGAAAGCAACGGTAGAGCATTCCAGCCAAATCTTCTTCCCGTTGTGGGTATATGATCAATATATTGTGGGAAATGACTTGGAGATGGATAATGTTACAGAGGAGGAAAAGAAAGTAATAAGAAAGATGGTTATAACTGCCTTGTGGTGTATTCAAATGAAACCAAGTGATCGCCCTTCGATGTCCAAAGTCATCGAAATGCTTGGAGGAAATGTTGAATGTCTGCAAATGCCTCTCAGGCCTTCTCTATGCCCACAAGAAATGCCTGCGACTATGGGTGATATTCAAGACAATAAATTGAACCCAATATGTTCTAACATGGAGCTAACATGTTCATTGTCAGCTAGGTGATGGTCAAATTGTTAAGAAAGTGCAATAATGTAATATTAATTAAATTCTTACTTTAAAGTGATTTAGTGAGTCATCCATAATTGATTGGGCTTGAATTCATATAGGAACTACTTCGGTTGTTGCGTTTACAGCTACATGTTACTCTAATTGCTTCTAAATCCATGAGGAGCCTTTTGGGGATGCTGGCATGAGATTTTTTTTTTGTAGGACCTGCTGAAACAAAAGGATTAGTAGGTCATCTCCTTCTTCCGCATATGGATTCGTAGGTCATCTCCTTCCTTTAGAAGATTATAAATATATTCTAGTTAGTAAATTTCATTTGTAGTGTTCTCTGTGGTCTAGCAAGATATTATTGGGTTTGAATCGTTTGATATCGAAATGGAGGATTCTTAGATCGCATCGCTGGTGAAGTTATTCCATTCCTTTGGTGTTGCCGATAACAATATATTGCAACTTATCCCAACCAAGGAAAGAATTCTTTCTATCTAGATCTTCTTATGACTATAATCTTGGAGTGAACCATTGGGAAAGAACTCATAATCCAGAGCTCGGCTAAATCCATCAGCACAAAAACCAACCAAGCGAACCACATTGACGTGGTGAATATGGCCCATTTTTCCCACTTCATTTAAAAACTCTTCCCCATCGCCCTTGGAATTGTTGGGTACTTTGACAGCAACGAAGCATTCAGAAGAAAGCTTTCCTTTAAAACAGTTCCGTAGGCTCCTTGGCCTAGCTTGTCATTTAACTGATTTGTTATCCCCTTAATATCTGCATGGGAACATCCAGTTAAAATGTTTCAATTTTTAATCGATTATCTTTTTCCTTTCTATCAGAGCTATAGGCGTGATATGCTGCCATAACCAGTAGTCAGAACAAATGAACCCAGGCTTGCTCTCGCAAATAGATCGAAACAATCCAGGAGTAAACATTTTCTTCAGTATCTTTTGCACATGAAATAAAGCTAAACACCAGTCTTATACACCTTGTTGTGAGGAATTGTCAAATATGAAACCAATAAATTAATATGGTAAAATAGGACAAAACCCCAAAGCGATTAAAGGATTTATAATGATTTGGCGTAAGCCAACATGTAATTGTGTAGTTTAGAGATGGTGAGGAAATTTTCACTGTAAATAAAAATAGATATTACAAATAAAGTTTTAATTCTCAAACACAAGTCCCACATATGCCCAATACCTCTCACCCAAACAAAGAACAAACGGGAAAGTTAGAGGTACAAACCAATTTCCTTCTCAAAAGCCACAAAAACTAACACCAATATCTTCAAATGAATAATTGCACAAAGGAAGCACAAGAGCAGCAGTTTCCCTCTCTATCTTTTGGTAGCTGTAGGCCGCTTTTCTTTCTCTTTGAAACAAAAGACGGTTGGCTTATATATTGGAGATAACCTAGAGCCACTCAAGTGGTTTTCACATACTCCATTGTGGGCTCAAATAAAATACAAGGTCCAAGTGGAATTGACCTACTAATTCCAACAATATTCACTTTAGCGAAATTCATATAGCAACACGAAGAGTTAAATCAACAATCATCAAAAGCATCTTAATTACGAACTAGATAACAATGGAAGGCAAATCAAATTCTCCAAGCTCTCGGTGCTTATAACAATCTCTACCTTGACTCAAATTGTACAAAAGCCAACAAAAGTAGAACATTTCTCCACCGTCTCCTTCGAATTTGCAAGCCATAAGTGCCTCAATCAAAACAAAGTGATTCAAATGAAGAAACTAAAATTCTTCAATATCACCCACAAAATAAGCATAGTGCATCGTCGGGACTCGCGATGCGACTTGGTCAAACTTGTTCTCTCATACTCCTCTTCCTAAGATGCAGAATTGAATCTTCTAGTACTCGACTGATGCCACTGCTCCAATCTTCATGACAAGGTTGGTTCAAAATTCTGTTATGGGGAGATGGGTTGCTGACGACAGTTTAGGTGAAGCCGTTGAATCTAGTCAGGACCTCCGTCTGGCGCTTGATAGTGCTCTCTATGACCATCCTTTGAATTACTGATAGTTGAAGAATGTTGACTGTGCTACCATTGTCAACTATTATTTTGGCAATCATGGCATGGGCCAGTTGGATGAAGTCACCAAGACATCATCGTGAGGAAAGTCTACTCCCTCGGTGTCATGCTCCTTGAACCTAACGGCCCAGGTACAATGTTAGTAGCTTGAACCTAGAAAACCAATTATGCTTGCTAGATTTTGGGTAAATTACATTTTACCCTCTCAGATTTGAGTGCAATTGCAACCTCATACAATATTTTTAAAACATTTCAATTTCATGCCTTAATTATTATATTATTGCAATTTCATGCATCCGTTAATTAAACTGTTAATTTGACCGTTAAATGATGACGTGACAAATATAACCCTCACATGTTTTGATGACTTGGAAAATAAAAATAATAAAAATTTTAAAAATCAATTTAAAAATAAAACAAAATTTAAAATTACAAAGGGGGCCTACCACCTTCTTCTCCACGGCGAGATGGCAATGGCATCCACCCACTTTGCCCTGCTTTTGCAGAATGACCTATTCCATGGATAGGGTCTGAATTTTACTCTTTGATATTGCGTGGAGCTTCTCTCTCTACCTTAAATAATACTCTCTCCTGTTTGTGATTTTAAATTTATAATTTTGGGTCTTCCACCTTCTATCTTTGCTTGGGAACAGCCTACACCTAAGAAAATAGCCTTCTAAACAGAAGAAAAGGGGTCAATCCCTAATCGGAAACAACTGGGCATGTTTCATCGCCTTGGATCCCTCTGAATTTTCAGGGTAAAGGGTTCTCCATTCCCGTTGTCCGCCCATGAAATTCACAGGAATTTTAATTTGGGGAAAGTTCTGTGTTTCAGATATTGGGGGAAAGTTTCGTGCTTCACCTCCATCAAATTCTTGATGGTGGCGAGAGTGTTGTGAGCGGCGGTGCTCTCGTCGGGGTCCGAGTTGCTTCTAATCTCAGTGGAGTTGTCTCTTCAGGTTTCATTTCGCTCTCGGAATTGGAACCTTTCGAAGTCTTGACAAAAAATTTTCATCGACTTCTTCACTTGCACGATTCTCCCAATTCGTACAGTTATGATTCTCCGGAAAGACTCAGATCTTCGGTTTCCGTCGGTCACACCGCAACTCCATTCCCTACCTTCTCTGTCGCTGGTGTTCGTAAACTCCCATACCCTTCCATCGGCATCGTCTTACGCCTGCGCACACGGTGGAATTGAAGCCGCACTCCTCTCGGAGAGGAAGATCGAGAGAAGATGAGAAGACCGCGATCGCTGCGGGCAGAGAGACGGTGGCCCACTGAAAAGAAGAGAGATAGAGACCTCGCTTCTCCCTAAAATTGCGACGGAAGTGGTGGATGTCATCTCCGTGGAGAAAAAAGCAGGTGGGTGGGGGCCTTTGCAATTTTAAAATTTGTATTAATTTAGTTTTATTTTTTAAATTTTAATTTCTCCGTTATCAAGAACATGCAAGCTTTATATTTGTCGTATCATCACTTCACGATCAAATTGATAGTTTAGTTAACGGATGTATGAAGTTGTAATTACATCCAAACTTGAGAGGTAAAATGTAATTTACCCCTAGATTTTCCTTTTCTTGGAATTGTTGGTGGGCCCAAGTGTTTAAATTCGGTGAAGATACTATTGATGTGAATTACTTTGGCAGGGGGTTCAGCGTTAGCTTCTGCGTCTTGTAGACGCGTGGGCTGTGTTGCTGGCTTGTTGAGTTACTTGTCGCACTTGCCCTCCTTCACATCTTTTCGAGATACTCTTTTCGTTTGATGCAGCCGTTAGTTGTGTGGCTTGGACCACGGTGGAATGCGCAATACTTTCAATGATCCAGCTTGGATTTTTCCCCTTTCGAGGGTGGCGACATCTTGAACCAAGACGCGTCCTTGAAGTTACTGAGGATCTGGTAGATCGGCAATGAGAACTTGGTGAACATCTCTGTGCAAGATTTTTGCTGCTTTTTTTGTTGGATTACTTCTCATTGGTCTTCATCTAAATTACCTCCATATTCTTCCGAGGTTGCTTTCTGAGCTCTCTTGGCTTCATTCTAAAGTGCATGCTCAAGTAGGATTCTCTTCCTGAATGTCCTTTTGGCTATTGTTTTTTTAGAAGTAGGCTAATTTTCAAATTAGTTTTGAGTTCAGTTCTTTAAAACAGTCATACAAAATAAGTATTCAAGTTGTAAAACTTGAAAAATGTTTTTGAATCTAAAAAGTTGGATTCAAGTAGAATACCAAAAACCCTTAATTTCTGAGAAGACAAAAAAAAAAAAAAACAATTTGTAAGAAGAGTGAAAGGAAGGGAATGAGAATAGGAGGAGAGAAAATCCAACACAGGTGGCCACGCAAAGAATGGTTTTCAGTATTTAGTTTTGGTTCTATCTACTCTACCCCCTCGGTTATCACATCCCTTTTGTCCTTTTTCCTCATCTAAATACAAAATCGTTAAGAAATTGACTCCTCAGCATTTAAAATTAACATCCAAAAGAGAAGAATATAGGCAACTGGCTCACTTAACATCTTTATGTTGGCATTAAAACATAAATGACGTGTCTTATTGGTATGACTTGGCATCACACGTAGGTAGTAGCTATATGCCTAGTGCACATACAACTGATAGCTTATATCTGCATCTGAAAAGAAAAAAAATGATTTGTCCTACTAAACAGATAAATTTTAGGGAAAAATATCAAGACCTGTAAGATTCTCCTGTCGAATGTGACTATCCCACCACCAAGAATATAACCGTCCGTCTGGAGTCGGACTGTGACATGGTTGCCATGACTCGGGCGCAGCACAACAACATAACTTGTCTTGAGTTGGGAAAGGCCAGATTATCAGTTCAAGGAACTTCCACCCTCAGTATTCCTGAAAAAGATCGGCATTTCTCTCTCTCTCACCTTCCACCTGTGCACCAAAATCACCAAAGAAAATATAGAGATCGTCGGAATGGCATAAAGTTCACACCAGTAAGAAGACATCAAGACAAAACAAACAATACAAAATTGCATGCTACCTCCTCTTCTGGACAAATACAATTGATCCAAGGAAATAAGTTATCACTAAGCAAGAAAACATCATTAAAAGCAAAAGCAATGTGGAAAATGAAGTTTTCTTCAATGTATGAGAAATAAAAAGACCAGGCATGACACGATCCTGAAATCAGGGAGTGCTGGCCGCCACGCTTCCGCTGCGCCACTCTGATTTCAGGATCGGGGTGTGTCAAGGCATCCATAAATTTACCCCAATAAAACTCAGTATGCAGTAGCTTTTTTAATTTTGTAAAATTCATAAAACAAATTATTATCGACTCAAACAATTCTCAAATTTCTATTAATAAATTTTCAACTTACCATTGCAACTGAAATACAAAGGCATATATGCGTTCTATTACAATTTTGCCCCAATTGTTAATACATTGACCCCGATATTTATTCAAATTCCTACTGGTGACCAAGCTAGTCACAGTTCATAACTCAGAAGGTATTGGTGATTATCACATACCGACTTGGAAGAGATCGGCCTATCGGTGGGATAGCCATCGCTCCCAACACTGTGAACGAGGTGGCAAGGAAATCGATCCAAAAGTCGGATCGATGATGTTCTCTCAGTCGACGGCGGCGGAACGGCGAGTTGGGATGTAGACTCGGGCCTCTCAGCCTCTGGGTTTTACGGAGAAGGGGAAGATGGGGAGGGTTGAGAGAGATGGAGAGTTGGAAGAAAGAGAGTCTGAAAGAGGTGAGATGGGGGAAAACAGAGATGACGGAGGGAAATCACGGGATGGGATTTCCATTCCCAGAAATCACTCTCCCACCCGCAAACCCCTCTATGGGTTTGCAAACCTACCCCTAAGGTTGCAATGACCAGAACGCCCATGAAGGTTTGCCGTTGGATCTGGAATGCAGCTCAATTAGTTCAGTCTGTGAACAAAGCCCAATCCGGATACGCATGATGGCAAAAGGGTCAATGAGTTCAAATTGAAGCCTGAACTTATAACAAAGATGAATAGCGCACTTGGGAAGTTCATTTTAGACTAAAGTAATAATATACTGCAAACCGGCATATTTGGGTTGGTTTATGTTTTAGAATCCACAATATACTACGAAGCTTTATTGTTTTTAATTTTTTGTTTTTTGGTTAGATTAAGTAATTTACTGTAAACTATATTCTATTGCTTTTTTGTTGGTGTGCATTTCGAGTCAGATGGTTTGAGCATGCAAATTGTTGCCCGTATATGGGTTAATGTCTATATTAAATCCTGCCACTTTGAAACCTTCCTTTTAGTTTTATCTTTTTAATGCAGAATGTTGATGAAAATAAGAAGTGCCTTTAATGTTTATGAGTATTATATTGATGTGCAGGCATTGATCGCAATGCCCTCTCCTGATTTTAGCCCATCTCATTCTTATGGCGTATTTACGTAACCATAATAAAGATAAAAGGAATTGAATTTAAGAGAAACTGAATTGATGACTAGTTGGAATCGGATTCCTGTTGAAGCTGTTTACTCAAATGTTATAGAATCGGAATAGAAATGACACAAATTTCATAAAGCTGTTTTCTAATTCAGCAGAATCAGAATATAAACCAGTATGATTACTAAAATGCTCTTATCCCAAATCAAATATTTTATTTACTTTTTTTAATAAAATTTGATATAATATATAACAGTAAGAAAAAAAATTAACTTGCTTTTTTATTTCATAGACATACTAAAATGCTTTTGTTTAGTTTTTTTTTTTATAAAGTTTAAGTATTTACTTTAATATTTAAATTTTCTCACTCAAGTTGTAGTTTTTTCTCTTCGGCATATGCATGGAGTTGTGCATAATATGAATGAGCATGAAGTTGTGCTTAATGAGCTAGAAGGACATTGAAAGAAATTGTTAGGAGCATTTTCAATCTTAACTCTTCAAGGATATATTTTGTTACATAATGTCAATGAGTAAAAGGAATGATTTTTACCATTTCAAATAAAAAAACTTGATTCCTCTTAAACTAAAGAGATCTTCACGATGTGGATTTTGTATAATAGTAAATAAATGAAGAAAAAACATTAGGAACAAACAAAGAGTAGGAAATAACTTCATTAAAGTTAATATTTTACATCAAAGCACATCTATCTAACCATCATAACCAACCTAAACAAACTAGTCATACCTGCCTATACATTAGATTGTCAACAAAATATTCGTAACCTATCTAAACATCATAATATCAACAAAAAAGTAGTTCTTCACCATCATGGTGTCATCTAAACAGTCATTAGAGTTACAAAACATTCACAATTTCCCCTAATATGTCATCATGGCAGCGAGCATGTCATAGCAAAAAACCAGCATTCACATTCTTTGGATTGTCACTTAGATGTCATTATGCATCCAAGTCTGCAACAAAGTAGTCACATATGCACTCTTCCTTTCATCAAACATGTTGAAAAAGACCCTCAAAAGGTCATTTTCTTTGGCCAAGAAGTTGGTGATTTGAAATAATTCCATGGGAGCCAAAAACTACATTTTGCACAACTCACTGTCAAGTTTTTGTTGCATTTCGATCAGATTTTTGTTGGTTGACAGTGCATGAACTAGACCATCAAGCTTAGGTCCCACATCGCCTATAGCTTTAGCCGTAATAGAGAATTGCTTAGCCATTTCATCCCTTACTCTTGCCCTATTGTGACCACTGTTTGATGTGTTACCTTCTGCAATATTCCTTTGTTGTTGGGTATTTGGCACTGAGAAAGAAGTATCAAAATCATTTCCATTTTCATCCTTACCTTCATTTTGATTGACATTGGCATCTTCAAATCTAACTTCTTCTTCATCGTCATTCGCGTTACCAGCATTTGCACCCACAACACGATCTTTTTCATAAATCTCTCCCAAACTATGGTAGTGCGGAAAAGGCTTATCGTACAATCCACTTGCATCCTTTTTACCCTACAAACAAAAAACACAAAGTACAAGGCATGTAAGAAAACTATAAAACAAAACACAATCAGATAAAACACAAAATACAATCAGATATATGTGCAGCAAGATACCAATTTGATTTTATGAAGATACATATGTGCAACAAGAGTCACCAATTAGCCGATTGTCTTTTAAAAAGATTGATACCAATTTGCATTGATGTCATCTACTGATTAGCTGATTGGCATTTATATAGACTGATACCAATTTGCATTTATAAGGATTCACCACAATTTTCATTTATTCATTCAAATGTCCTTATAGGATAAATATTATTTTTGTCCAATACTGATAAATATTAAAGTTTTCTTAAATTAGCAAGGGCATATATATGCATACCTTCGTAGTCTTGTCATACACACTTTTCTCACAAGCCAACATCATTTTCTCTTTATTCCACTCAAACCCACTGAGAGATAGCAATTCAGTTAAGGCAAAATATTTTGCCTTCAACGTCTTGATGCGTGATTCAATGTAGGGACACGCTTTTAATCCGTACCCTGGGAGTTTGGCTTCTATCATAGCTTCTATCTTCCCTAAATAACCATTCTTGAAACCAGTGTCAGCTTGCCAAGTTGGGTCACTATGCAACTCAAGCAATGATTCAACCACTATTGTATCATCAATATTGTATCCTCAGCAGTTCCCCAAATAAACATTTGTTGCTATTTTATTTTTCCTTGTTTTGTACTTTGATTTATCACATTCTGGTACATGCACCTTAACCGGTGTTCCATAGTGCACCTAAGCAATTCTACAGTATATAGGACACTAAATTAACAAACGAAACTATGAAATAAAAAACTAGTAATTGAGTAGTGTAGGCATGTAGATACTACATACCTTAAGATGGTGTGCAAGAATGTATAGAAACAATGCAACCATCTCCTCTATAGACACATTTCGAGTAGCTCATAGATGTCCTCTAGTCACAAGAACTTGGCATAATCTATGAAAGGGTCGTCTATCCATTCATAGTTCAGCAATACATGTCACATCACTCTTATAAATTAAGCCATGTAAGCATTCTAATTGCTTGTAAACGCTCATAATTGTTTGAGAAGGTGAAGGACTTCTAAGGTGCTTTTGGAAACAATACCAAGAATAGAAACAAAAAGTAGGACATGCAACAAATATAGTTCGAAGATAGACAATCAACACATTCAACACAGCATGTAATTTCTTCTTTGTAGACAAACTTAGACGAGCCATTAGTGAAGAAAAAAATTGTCATGAAGGACTTCAATTGACAAGTTAATAAACATATTGGCAAACTGAAATAAATTAACAATACATAACACAATTAGTCACAAAAATTTATTTATTTTTCCCTACATACCTAGTCTCACAATTAATGGAAAAATAACAACATAAATCATAGTATACCTGCAAATAGTAAAGAGAGCTCAACCCATAACCTTGTACTCACTCTTCCTAATTTAAAAAAGATGACTAATATTTGATTAATAAACATTTGTGAGCATAAAGAATTAGGGATAAAGTACTCTTCCTAAACAATACAACATTTAGATGTGATCACTCATATTTCATGCATTTATACCATCCATTTCAAAAGTCTTTGTGATGTTTTTGTGTTAAAATGGTTGCATTTTACCTTACCTTATGTTAGTGTGCAATTAAATTTGCTTTAGGATCAATTTCAAGCAAAAAGGAGAAAATGAAATAATAAAAACAAACAAAAGAATTGGAAGTGGAGCTTGTCTCCACGGGTGGTATTTGAAAAAGAAATCAGAAAGCAAAGTGGGGGAGTGAGGATTAAGTGGAGCACTAGGAAGTAGGATGAGTTGGCCTTCCACTTGTAGCCTTGGTGCTTTGAAAAATCATTGCCTTATTGTTTAAGGCAACAAACGGCAAGATAGAAGAAAAAGGCAAATGGCACACGGAAGAAAAATATAGAGGGAGAGCAGAGAAGAAAAAAAGGGCACACGGACAGAACATAGCAGAGAAGAAGAAGGGGAACGGACAGAGAATCAGAGAGGAACATAGCAGAAAAATAAGGGAGCCGCAGCTCCACATGGAAGGAGGATCGGAGAGCATTAGGAGATAACCTCCTTGTAAAAAAGGGTTGTCTCTTTCTTTGATTCTTCATGGATAATTTCTTATGTATTCAAATAATTATGTGTAACTAATTTCTTTTCGCTAGAGTGAGGCCATGAGTCGCAACATGATTACGTAGATTTCTCTATCAATTGCTTAAGTGTTGTTACATGCTTGCTTTGATATTTTCAATCTCTAAATTAAACTATCTATGTGTCTTGATGATTGATCACCATTAGGATGCTTAGAAAAGTCATTGGATGCAATTTTGAACGAATGTCACGTTAAAATTGGTTATGCTTCTTGTGATTGAGGATTGTAATTTCTCCTAAGGTAAATATCATACTCTTAGGGATTGCATGGTTTAACAAAGGGATTTTCATCAAGATTAATTAATCATTATGTTTATATTTAATCCAAATGTCATGGATAAATTGCATGTAGTGGTATGCGTTTTAACTTGAATGTCACAAGTAAAACATACACAAGGAAAACCCAACATTCAAAGCATATGTGTTTTCGATTACTTAAGCAATTGGAAGAGCTACGTAGGAGTGTTGTTGGTAAAAGGTTGAACTCTAGCATATTGTCAATCTATTTTTCTTCAATCATTTATTTTATCTTGAATTTTCTCATTTACTTGTTTTGTTTAGTTGAATCATTATTTCTATAAGCCATTTCCCTTTTTAAATGTTTGTTTAAGTCACGTACAATAGTATTTAGTTTTGTTGAATTAGTGTAGTTCTTAGAGTTAACTAAGTTATAAATTGTTTATACCAGTCCCTGAGGAGATCGGCCTTGCTTGAGCCATTCTATACTACAACACTTGTTCTCTTGCAAGAATTTTCTATGGTTTAACCCCTTGTTTTACAAGTGGTAAAATCGCTATCAAGATGAAAAATGAATAAATAAATAAAAAAGCTAGTT